CTTCCTTCCTTCCTTTTTCCTTTCTTTTTCTTTTCATTTTGTGACAAGTTCTTGCCATGGAGTTCAGGCTGGGCTTTAAATCACTTTATAGCCCCTGCTGGCCTTCAACTCATAGCAATCTTCCTACCTTAACCTCTCTACTATTGAGATTGTAAGTATGTGTCACCAGGCCCAACTCATAGCCACCTTTTTTTTTCTTTTAATTTAGAGGAGGAAAAAAAAGCAGAAAATAGTTGGCCGAAAACAGGAGCAGGGAGTTCTGAAAGATGGATGCCCCCTGATTTTCTCCTCCTGTATCACAGCCTTTGACTCACCATGTGTGGGGAGTGGAGGCCTTCAGAAGCGAGCTCCTCCAGCTCCCACGTTCTGCGCTTCAACATTGCCCTTCCATTCAACCAGAAAAGAAACGCCTCTCCTTCCTGCACGGTGCCTCCTGACTGTACCCAGGGTTTGTCCTCCTGTTTCTACTTATTTCTCTCCGCTTTCCCTGGATTCTTAACCACAGTGAATGAACGTATGACTTCCATTTCCCAAAACTCCTGCTCAGGAGTCTTTTCTTGTTCTTTTCCTTACCTCAGAAAGTAGCATCGCTGTTGACCTTTTCCCTTTTCTACAGTTCATTCAGACACACACTTTATTTCTCCAGTATATTTGGTGTTTGTTGAGTGCCTACTACGTGTCAACACTGCGCTATTTGGTCAGTGAGTAAAAGACCAATGGTCCTTGACCTCAGAAATTGAAATTTTGGTTCAGTGGCTGTCTGTGGAAAGAAGCAGACAGTGTATTGGGCACTTGTTAAAACTTAGGGACGCTATGACTCCTGTTTTCAAGGCATGGCTCATTTCAGAGGAAACAAAAGCAACACGTGTTAGCTTGTAGGGCTTCTAAAACACAGACTGGGTGGCTTCAAATCCAAAATGGAAGTGCCAGCAGGTTTGGCTTGTACTGAGACCCTTTCCTGGGCTTGGGGACGACCACTTTTCTGGTGCATCCAAAGTTTCTCCTTTTACAAGAGGATAAGTCATAAAGCCTACTCCATGGGCCTCATTTTAGCTCAGTTACCTCTTTAAAGACCTCTTCTACAAATATGGTTAATTTTGACATACTAAGGGTTAGGACTCCAGCATGTGGATTAGTGGAAGGACATAATCCTCTCCTCAACAGCTATTTCAGAATCTTGAGCGATCTAGAGACTTGTCCTGAAGCAACATTCTACAGTATGTGGATGTCACATCGACTCCAGCTCTCCTTTTATGAATTACTTTCAAATATCTAGACCTGACCCCACCTTTTTTCAGGGGGGGTCTGATCTAGATATTTGAAAGTAATTCATTCTCCGGAATGAAGACACAAGTTTTGCTTACAACTATCTCAAAGTACAGCTGGCATAAAGTGATGGGGAGTTTAGTTTTTTGGTTTTTTTTTTTTTTTTTTTTCCTTCTTGAGACAGGGTCTTGCTATGCAGTTCAGGCTGGCCTTGAGCTCACTTTGTATCCCGTGGTGGTCTCATCCTTCCTGCCTCAGCCTCCCAATGCTTGGATTACAGGTGTATGCCACCATGCCCAGCTGGGACTTTACTTTTTAGTTGTTCCTGAGACAAACATGACTCAAAAGTTTAGCTGTTCTTTGAGGCAGGTTCAATGGGTAGGTCCTTTTGTTCTTTAGCAGCTTAAATACAAAACAGCAGGTAAACAGTTTTGAAGAGATTTTTCAAATTTCTTAAACATTATACTTGTTGCAGTGAGTAAAAATTATTTTCTGAGAAAGGTATAAAAATTTTGATATGATGTGCTTTAGTGCCATACCAGTTTTGGTTTGTTTGTTTGCTTGTTTTTTTAAGAGAAAGGGTATCAGGAAATGGAACAAGGAACATCTAGAACAGATGGACTCAAGGTGTGTTTCACAGATAGATTCCCCAGAACTTTTCAGTGTTTGTATGCTGGGATATGGGAGGGAAGAATCTAGACTCCTTAGTAAGCAACTGGCTGGATGAAGGTAAGCAGAGCATTGGGGCTGGGGAGATGGCTCAGTGAAATAAGCGCTTCCCTGGCAAGCGCAAGGGCCTGAGTTCAATCCCTGGGTCCACAAAAAAAAGTAAGCAGAGCAAATGGGGTTTAGCTAACATATACTGTATTTGATATGCTTGGGTGCTTCTGAGACGCTAGAGTCCAGATGAATTGGAATGCCAAGGAGAAGTTTTAGGTAATTTGAGAGTCCATAGCATATGAATAGTAATTTAGGTCATGAGGATAGATAATTTTGGACTTTTGTAGTTCATCTAAAGTTTTAATGGTGTAGCATCTGGTCTCCAGTTTGGTGTCGCACCTTCTGAGGTTCGGTGGGAAGTACAGCCTGCCTTCCCCCTTGGAAACTGAAACAGGCATTGTGTGTTGCGTATGCACTTTCCTGGCCTCCCTTGAGGTGAGAGGATGGGCGACTCTGAACTGGAAGCCAGTGAGGCAGAGGAGCTGAGAGGGAGACCTTCTCTAATCAGGAGCCTCGCTTTCTCTGGGATCCAAGGCAGCGAGGTTCCACTGTGCCGTGCGGGGTGTGACGTTGTTGCCACATCCAGCCTTTCAGTGAGGGGAGCAGGGTCACAGATGATTGGTTCTTGGTTACTTCTGGCAAAGCCTCCTCTTGTGGTGCTGCTGTGAACTACCTCTTACCTTAAACAGACCCTTTAACATCAAGTAGAAGTTTTGTCGCTTTTATAAAAATGTAAGTGTAATTTCTTAGAGAGAGTCTGGGTTGAATAAAAGACTTTAAGGATTATTATGGTTGTGTAGGAGAAATGAGCAAATGCTCACCAGGGAATTACATCACCAGCTCCAAATCTAGTATGTGGGAGGGTGGAAGGGAAAACTATTTTACCAGTTTTGAAAAGGAAGTGGCCAATCTCCATTGCTGGCACTGCCAGTGCCAGCCTCACTGCCTTTGCTGACTCTGAAAGTGAGATGCAGATTTAAAAAGTGCCCACGGCATCTGGTGAGATGCAGGTCCCTGCTGACTTTACCACACCTCAGTGGGCTAGCTGGAGCATGACCAGGTGGTGAGGAAGTGGAGAAGACTGTACCGGGAGAACTCTTTTGAGGAGTTCGTTCATGAAGGAGAACAAAATATAGGGCATCACGTGCTTGGGGATGTGTGCTGGAGGACCGATCAGGAGGCCAGGGGACACTGCGCCAGGACCGAGTCCTCCGTGAAGCTACAGGACCTCACGCCAAGGTCACCGCTGCAAGCCATCTTCCTCCATACTTAGGCACAGGAGTCCTCTTTTCTATAGGTTGTAAGTTGGATCATGTGTGTTTTCAACTTTGTTTATACCCATTTAAAATATATGATCAAATCGTTTGCTCTATTCCTTTCCTTGACAGTTTTTCTGGTCTTTGTGTTATTCCCACACATTTGGTAGGTTAGAATAAAAAAACCCAGATTTTCCGTTTTATCGTTTCTTTCATCCATTGAAGATTTATTCCTTTATGTGGAGCAAGGCAGAGACCTAATACTGTTATTTTCCAGTCATTTACTGAATGTCTACTTTATAGATTGAAATGACACCTTTGTTATATATCCAATACCCAGACACACATCTTTTGAGTTTTTTATTCTGTTGTACTGATTTATTTGGCCAGATCTAGGCTGATGTACATTTAAAAAATTGCTATAGTTAATGTCTTGCAGTGAGTCACAAAGAATCTCCTGGTGCTAGTCTCCTACCTCATCTAATTTATAATCCAGGAAAAACTGAATCTTCCATTCGGGAAGATAACTGCCTTTCCAGTCGCTCTGGCTTCCTTCTGGAATTCCATACCTAACTTGTACTTTGTATACTTCAAGTGTTCCAATTTGACCTGGGGGCTCCAAATATCTCTTTTCTTTAATTATTTTCTCTTAGTATTTTTTTGGCCAGGGTGCTGAGAGCTGGACCCACGGCCTCATAAATGCTAAGCACATGCTGTACCACTGATGTAACACCCTGCTTTTGGGCAGGATTTTTATAAGAATTGGATAAATCCAGAGGGCTCTGGATTGCTGGTTCTCTGTAGTAGATTTATGTGGTCCAAGAACCAGATTTACAGTGGTACTTCAGTTGACGAACGTAATTCCACAATTCTGGTCACAGCGTGAACTGGACAAGAACCTAATCAAATTTCCCCATAAGGTCAACACTGAACATAATAACTGAAATTTGAAGAAACAATGTCAGTCTACTAAGTAATACACTTACAGAAATATTTATGAATGTTCCCACAAATGAACAATGGATTTGTGAATTAGTACAAATGTAAAAAGTTTATTATTAGATTTTATACATTATAAAAATGCTTGAATTTTTAAAAATAATCCAATATTCACTTCTTTGTTTTGATTATGTCCTCCAAAAGTTCATATTTTGGGAGCTTGGTCCTCAACATAGCCGTGTTAGGAGGTCCAACTTTGAAGCAGGACTGGCTGTTCATCCCACAAGCGAGTCTTATAAAGCGAGTTCTTTCTGGCGAGCTTGCTGTCTCTCATGAAGCTGTCTATCGTGTAGAAAGAAGACCTGCACCAGATGCCAACACTGCTCTAGACTTCCCAGCCTCCCGAGCCGTGAGCAAAGTCAACTGCTACTCTTCATGTTAGCCTGCGTGCGGTATCCCGTCACAGCAACAGAGAATGGAGCAAGATAGCATTTAAAGTACAAATGATATGAATTAGGCTACTGACCATCATATTTTTTGTGTGTGCTTGTTGTGAAAAATGTCCACTGTTGTTTCAAGACATGGCCTTAAATCAAAGTCACAATATCCAAGGGAAAAACGACCCTAGGAAGAAAAGAGTACCATTTAAAACAACACAAAAATAATCTAGGCATGGTGATACACCAGGGGTCCCACCCACTAGGTGGCTGAGGTAGGAGGATAACTTTTGAGCCCACTGAGTCCAAGACCAGCCTGGCCATGAGCAAGACCCCCATCAAAAAAAAAAAAAAGAACCAAAAGTGATATAAAATGATGCCACACACCTATTCATAAAATCATATCCTACCTGTGGTTTCTTAAAGTAATCAAGTCCCCTTCCGATCTTAATCATCCAGCCATTATTGAACCTATTGAAATTAGTATACAGTTATTAGCTTTGAGACAGTGGATTGTTAGCAGAAATTCCCAACAGGGAAAACCATTTCTTCCAAAGGCATGAGTTGAATCAGAACTAGAGCTCATTGTGGGCTGTGTCTTCAATGAAATAAAAGGACCGTAAGACGAGTCAGCTGACTTGACTGGCTAACAGTTTAACAGTTAAGTCAGAGCTGACTCTAGAATTTCAGCTTGGTGAAAAAGACTTCCTGCTGTGCTAACAGGTGGCTGCAGAGTATTTTCAGAGAGACCCTGGTAGTCTCAGGGGTTCCCTTCCCAGTGATTGGGGACAAGAGCACAAGGGGTCCTGGCCCCGACTCTGCTTTCACCAGAGCACAACTAACTTGCCTCTATTTTGTGTCTTTAGTTTGTGCTTAAGTTTTCATGAAAAATGGTGTCACTGTTATAATCATGGGAAAAGCCCTTCGCTATAAACAAAGGGAGACTAGCTCTAAAACAACTGCAGGCACTATTTTCGTACGGAATCAGCCTATTTGGGGGGATTTTTTGTCTGTTTTGAGGCAGGGTCTCACTATGTAGTTCAGGCTGGCCTTGAACTCATGGCACTCCTCCTGCTTCAGACTCACAAGTGCTAGGATTACACGCATACGGCACCATTCCTGGCAATTCAGGATATTTTCCTGTCGGCCAGAATATTTACTTACCCACAGCAAGGAAAACTACATTATATAAAGATTTATTTCACAAAAAATGAATTACTTCATTTTCTAGTGAAATTAATCATAACATTATATGCAGTATGCAGAAAGGTCCTCCCTATTCCTATGTGATACAACGTGTAGATTTTATTTTCTTCTGCAAATAATTTCATAAGACAAAGTAAACTAAGGTTTTTTTAATCCTCAAAAGTAAGCAATTACTAAAATTGAGTTTTAATTTTAATGTTGAAATATATTTGTATGCAATTATATAACAGAAATTTTAAAACTATATTTAAGCTACATAAAAATTAAAGTATTATTATACACACACCTAATTTCTCGGT